AGCATGCTGTATCAATCTTTTTCGACCTAGAAAAAGCTTATGATACAACATGGAAACATGGTATTTTAAGAGATTTACATGACTGTGGTTTGAGAGGCCGTTTTCCTCATTTTATATCACAGTTTTTAGCAGACAGACACTTTCAAGTTCGTGTTGGATCAACCCTGTCTGACCATTATAATCAGGATCAGGGGGTTCCACTAGGCAGTATTTTGTCCGTTACTTTGTTTAGCATGAAAATCAATAGTCTCTCAAAAGTATTAAATGACTCTATAGATGGGTCATTGTTTGTGGATGATTTTAACGTTTCATGTCGTGGTAAAAATATGCATACCATCGAGAGACAATCATGTGTTGGCCAATTTCCGGGTGTTATTGAGTATTTGAAGCACGGGAATATTTTATTTGAAACCTCCGGCAAACGCCGTCGGTTCCAAATGTTAACACAATTGTAAACCAAAAGTCACTGTGTTCTTTAATTTGATTGGTTGGAAAACGTGATCAAATGGTATTCGATTCCCGTAAATTCGCTGCGTATTTAGGAAATATAGTTCGCTCTACCCCAATGTGTTTTGCAAAACTATACTTTATTACAAAACACATTGGGGTAGAGCGAACTTTACATCTTTTCTAAGATGCTAAATTTAATACTTTCTAAGGATAATTACGATTAATTTAAGGCAGAAAACAAACGACGGTGTCGGTGACCTAAATTAAGATTCCTCGCACAGGGTTATCTGGCGCGCTGTTCTATTGATGTGTCTGCCCCCTTACGTTAAGACAAACGTTACCAGAAAAAAAACAAATGATAACAGTTTGATGACGGTTTACGTTCGGATTAAATATCTTCTCTGAATTATTTTAATTACATCTGTCATTAACGTAAACCATATGGGGCAATATGAACGTCGCAGTTCTACTACCAACGTAAGTTTAGATCAGTACATCCAGATGAAGCCGAGAAGTCAAGCGACATTCCACGATTGCATTGTGGAGAATGTAAACACTGCGAACGTTACTGTGTCGCTGAAAACTTGCGAGTCGAATTGATACATTTTAACCGTCGTAAAACATAAACGCAATGTTTCCACCAGTGATGTTAGCTGCGTGAAGCAACTGCAAACCAAGAAGCGGGATGCAACGGAGTAGTTTACTGTAGGAGGCTGTACGAGGCGATGACAACTGACATGCATCGTGACGTCGCTTACATTGTGACGTAATGTAAAATGGTTCGATTACGAGGGGGCACACTAGAATGGCGCAGTGACGGGAAAACGTCATTCAATTGTTACGTCATCAATAATCTATACCTTTATTTAGGAGATAAACCTACTGTGTTGGAAAATCAGAGGTATATAACGAAATTATAATAGCTCTAAATTGTTCATTTAAAACCTCACGCTACGCGTTCGGTTTTAAATGAAATTTAGAGCTATTATAATTTCGTTATATACCTCTGATTTTCCCACACAGTAGGTTTATCTCCTAAATAAATAGCTCTAAATTGTTCATTTAAAACCTCACGCTAAGCGTTCGGTTTTAAATGAAATTTAGAGCTATTATAATTTCGTTATATACCTCTGATTTTCCCACACAGTAGGTTTATCTCCATTCTACCATGACAATTTTATGAACAATTTCAGGTGGAGCTCTTTCTTTGGTTACGAGTCAATACGTGAAGCGGCCTCGCATTCCAATCTCAAGTGGTATCGCCCGAAACGGGGTGTTTGGTGGCAAACCGTCAATGACTAACAAACTCCAGATTCAGTAATAACAAATCACGTTTTGTTTTTTCAATGCATCAATCACCAATCATTAACTGATAAGTTGGAAAACATATATCAAATAAGTTTCAAAAGCTTGGTTCACATTTGAAAATTCCACCGTAGACCCTTTCCCCACCAGAATAGTGGCAGCAACCTCATGGCCTTGACCTTTTCTCGAAGTCATTGTTTACATTTGGAAAGATGCGACAGGAGAGCCACTGACAGTTTGCGCAAGGTTAACCTGATTGTATGACTGAGATAGTCTTTGATATCTAATTACTGGTACTGGTACAAAATTTAAGAGTAGGGGCGCTTTTGCTGTAACGAGAAGTCCGTGTTGTACCGAATTTAGATACTGTTGAATTTTGCGCCCTGTCAACTTGACGATTTCACGCACCTCTACGTCTGCGTGCGACAGCTGTGGTGACTCTTACACACTCATGTGTGTACTTTGTGCTCAAATTCGATTCTACGGATATTATTTTCTACATTTTGGAAAGTGTTTTGTGACCTAGTGGCTTCAAAGTGTAGTGAATTCAAATTGAATCGGATTGGCTGGCATGTTCGCGAGTCTGTTGACAAAGAGCCAGATTTGTGGTGATATTTCCGACAGGATGGATCAGGACCCAGAGGGTGTACCTCTGGCATAAACACGGTAAGGTAATTAATTATACTTTAATAGACTACTTTAGATCAAGCAGTGTAATGGATAAGAGGGATCATGACTAAGCTAAATAACTTTTTTCAACGATATTATACATTTAGAAAAAAAAATATGTTGGGCTAACAGAACGGTTTGCAGATTCTGTAGATCTAATTGTGTTTTACTACCGCTAAATTTGAAACAGTACAAATTTCAAAATATCATTTTGTTTGAATTGATAACCCAACTGTTTATTTATGTTAATGCATCCTCCGTTACCGGATCAACATCAGTGGCGATATCGTTGACGAAAGCTGATAATAAATTTAACACGGAAATTTTGTAGCAGTCTATTGCTGGATCTATTCTGACATAACATAGAATCAACGTAAACATATTTGTTTTTGCTGAATTTTTATTCGGAAAGCAGACGATGTTTTGATCTTGTTCGACTGGATATTTGTTTCCATGCTTTCGAAGTACTTTTGTATGTATAAACGCCTATTGCTGTGATTTACGCAAGTAGTGAGTCGTGCCCGTTATCGCTTAATCCATCTTTAAAGACATATGTGTAATTTCCGACAGTAAAATCGCCGTAATTTATCGATGCATCGGTAGGTTGTTCGGTGTCCGCCATGTTAGTGGGCAGACAAAAATAGTGCATTACCGTAAACCATGTATGATTGCGCACGGAAAACAGAGACCGGAAAACGTGATTATATACCTCTGAATGACTTTAATTAACCAATCACAATCCAGTGTTTACTGAAGTCATGGTAGAATGTCTGATAATGTATTTTGTTTTCGATTGTTCTAACCGCTAGGCATCTTAGAATAATGCATACAAACATCGCTCACACCATTGTATTGTTAGGTCGTGAGCTGTGATGACGTCATTAAATCATATTGTGACGTAAAGTCTGAATAACGTCACAAATGAGCAGTTCCAGATGCTACCATGGGAAACAGCCGAAACCGCCGGCTGATGACATTTCACTGCTGTACCCGTACTCGATGTCAATGAGTGCAGACACAAAAACGTGTGTGGACCTTTTGGTTTACTTTTAGGAGATAAACATCATGTGTTGGCCAATTTCCGGGTGTTATTGAGTATTTGAAGCACGGGAATTCATTTGGAACCGACGGCGTCAGCCGGAGATTTCAAATGAAATATTCCCGTGCTTCAAATACTTATTCAATACTTTGATTACAAAGCTCTGATTAGATCGTACATCCGTGATCTGATGCAGAAGAAGTGGAACACCCAAGTAGATATTAATAAATTACTTGAAATAAAACCCTATGTTGGTTATACCTTCTTGGGTTGTCAGTCAAGATTTGAAGAGGTCATCATGCGACGATGTCGTATTGGCCACATATCCATTGAAAGGCGAGGATCCTCCGTTTTGTATCCCTTGTGATGAGAGAGTCACTGTCAAGCATATCCTGCTTGGCTGTGTTGAATTCTCCATCATAAGGGATAAATATTTCAATATCAAAACAATAAAGGACCTTTTTAATAATGTTAATTATCATTTAACCATTGATTTTTTAAAAGAGATAGATTTTTGTTAAATGAATTTTGAAATATGTTTTGTAAATAGATAAGTTTCTATAATTGGTAGTTTAGATTATCAGTTCAACTTCGATTGTTAGTGGCTGTACCCTCAAAGGGGGTTGAAGTATTGTAAAATCGTTGTCCTCCTGAGAGGGTACGTTATCCAAACACATTTAAAGCAAATTTAAACTCGCCACGTTTTTTAATCGTGGAATATGTGTGCTTATAATTTATGGCTAGATTTGTTTTCAATCACCAATGACTGAAGGGATGGTGTAAGTCTAGCTAGGGTCCATGCAGGTAGCAAAGGTACTGTAAGTCCCCATGGTTCCTAGTATGGTGATCTACCTTCAGTCGTTGGCGATTTATAGCTCATGTTTTATACTGTATTGTCTTCTTTAATGGGAATGTTTTGGCTTTGCTTGCTAGTTTTATATTCATATCTGTGATTCTCTGGGATTTTTACTGTCCATCGTCGACAGGTTTTAATCTTCAAATTAAATGGTTTCACTTTTTTTTTTATAAATTGTTTTCGTCACGATATGGCTGAGATATTGCCGATGTGACGTTAAATATTAACTCACTCACTCCCGTGAAAACGGGTGAGAATGAAGTGTGTAACACACACACACACCCCACACACCCCATCCCCCTTCTCAAAAAGCTGTATCCGCCCCTGGTGTGTGTATAAGTAAGAGCTTCTTCGTTTGTTTCCTGTACATTTGACCAAAACACAAGTCTTATATTAGAGACCGGTGTGTGTATTAACTAAGCACACTAAGCAGTGTTTAGCCTATATATTTGTGTAGATCTCGTCATTGTTATGCCTATATATTTGTTTAGATATCGTCATTGTTATGCCTATATATTTGTTTAGATATCGTCATTGTTATGCCTGTATGTTTGTGTAGATCTCGCCATTGTTATGCCTGTATATTTGTTTAGATCTCGTCATTGCCCTCTCTTGTGAAGAGGAATGACACATTCCTTCAGTTGACTATTAACATATTCACAAGAACGTTTTGTCCCGCAGCTCCCAATGTCGCCGGCAACAAAACAGCCAAACAGGACAGCACCTACCGATCTTTTGTGGCGTCCAAGGCCGTGGACGACAACCTGAGTCAGTCCATGAGCCGAGGTGGGTGTTCTCACACACTGCCGACGCTCGCGTTAACGTGGTGGCAGGTAGACTTGGGCAGTGTGTACAACATCACCACGGTGGAGATTTCCAACAGACAAGATTGTTGTGGTGAGTGCATCTACCATGGTGAGCGCCACCGACCTGAAACTGTGAGTAATATATGAGGAGAGTGCAGATATGTATCACAAACCTGCCCTGGTGAGCGCCACCGACCTGAAACTGTGAGTAATATATGAGGAGAGTGCAGATATGTACCATAAACCTGCCCTGGTGAGCGCCACCGACCTGAAACTGTGAGTAATATATGAGGAGAGTGCAGATATGTACCATAAACCTGCCATATGACTAGGCCACCTGTGGTGACAACAGACGGAATCAAACACCCTCCACGGTGAGAACAGTCGGAATCATACACCCTCCATGGTGAGAACAGTCGGATTCATACACCCTCCATGGTGAGAACAGTCGGAATCATACACCCTCCATGGTGAGAACAGTCGGATTCATACACCCTCCACGGTGAGAACAGTCGGTTCACAGTCGGATTCATACACCCTCCACGGTGAGAACAGTCATCATACACCCTCCATTGAGAACATACACCCTCCATGGTGAGAACAGTCGGATTCATACACCCTCCATGGTGAGAACAGTCGGATTCATACACCCTCCACGGTGAGAACAGTCGGATTCATACACCCTCCATGGTGAGAACAGTCGGATTCATACACCCTCCATGGTGAGAACAGTCGGATTCATACACCCTCCATGGTGAGAACAGTCGGATTCATACACCCTCCATGGTGAGAACAGTCGGATTCATACACCCTCCACGGTGAGAACAGTCGGATTCATACACCCTCCATGGTGAGAACAGTCGGATTCATACACCCTCCACGGTGAGAACAGTCGGATTCATACACCCTCCACGGTGAGAACAGTCGGAATCATACACCCTCCATGGTGAGAACAGTGGGATTCATACACCCTCCACGGTGAGAACAGTCGGATTCATACACCCTCCATGGTGAGAACAGTCGGATTCATACAACCTCCACGGTGAGAACAGTCGGATTCATACACCACAGAACAGTCGGATTCATACACCCTCCACGGTGAGAACAGTCGGAATCATACACCCTCCACGGTGAGAACAGTCGGATTCATACACCCTCCACGGTGAGAACAGTCGGAATACACCCTCCACGGTGAGAACAGTCGGATTCATACACCCTCCACGGTGAGAACAGTCGGATTCATACACCCTCCACGGTGAGAACAGTCAGATACACATACACCCTCCACGGTGAGAACAGTCGGAATCCACGGATTCATACACCATACACCACGGTGAGAACAGTCGGAATCATACACCCTCCACGGTGAGAACAGTCGGAATCATACACCATACACCCTCCACGGTGAGAACAGTCGGAATCATACACCCTCCACGGTGAGAACAGTCGGAATCATACACCCTCCATGGTGAGAACAGTCGGAAATCATCACACCCTCCATGAGAACAGTCGGATACACCCTCCATGGTGAGAAGTCGGAACATACACACTCCAGGTGAGAACAGTCGGATTCATACACCCTCCACGGTGAGAACAGTCGGATTCATACACCCTCCATGGTGAGAACAGTCAGATTCATACACCCTCCATGGTGAGAGCAGTCGGATTCATACACCCTCCACGGTGAGAACAGTCGGATTCATACACCCTCCACGGTGAGAACAGTCGGATTCATACACCCTCCATGGTGAGAACAGTCGGAATCATACACCCTCCATGGTGAGAACAGTCGAAATCATACACCCTTCGTGATAAAGAAAAGTCAGATCCATACACCCTCCACGGTGAGAGCAGTCGGATTCATACACCCTCCACGGTGAGAACAGTGGGATTCATACACCCTCCATGGTGAGAACAGTCGGATTCATACACCCTCCATGGTGAGAACAGTCCAGGTGAGAACAGTTCATACACCCTCCACGGTGAGAACAGTCGGTGAGAACAGATTCATACACCCTCCACGGTGAGAACAGTCGGATTCATACACCCTCCACGGTGAGAACAGTCGGATTCATACACCCTCCACGGTGAGAACAGTCGGATTCATACACCCTCCATGGTGAGAACAGTCGGATTCATACACCCTCCACGGTGAGAACAGTCGGATTCATACACCCTCCACGGTGAGAACAGTCGGAATCATACACCCTCCATGGTGAGAACAGTCGAATCATACACCCTCCACGAACAGTCGGAATCATACACCCTCCACGGTGAGAACAGTCGGAATCATACACCCTCAGTACACGGTGAGAACAGTCCACGGTGAGAACGGAATCATACACCCTCCACGGTGAGAACAGTCGGAATCATACACCCTTCACGGTGAGAACAGTCGGATTCATACACCCTCCACGGTGAGAACAGTGGGATTCATACACCCTCCATGGTGAGAACAGTCGGAATCATACACCCTCCACGGTGAGAACAGTCGGATTCATACACCCTCCGTGGTGAGAACAGATGGAATCATACACCCTCCATGGTGAGAACAGTCGGATTCATACACCCTCCACGGTGAGAACAGTCGGATTCATACACCCTCCACGGTGAGAACAGTCGGAATCATACACCCTCCACGGTGAGAGCAGTCGGATTCATACACCCTCCACGGTGAGAACAGTTGGATTAATACACCCTCCACGGTGAGAACAGTCGGATTAATACATCCCCCACGGTGAGAACAGTCGGAATCATACACCCTCCACGGTGAGAACAGTCGGAATTATACACCCTCCACGGTGAGAACAGTCGGATTCATACACCCTCCACGGTGAGACAGTCGGATTAATACACCCTCCACGGTGAGAACAGTCGGAATCATACACCCTCCATGGTGAGAACAGTCGGATTCATACACCCTCCATGGTGAGAACAGACGGAATCATACACCCTCTCGGTGAGAACAGTCGGATTCATACACCCTCCACGGTGAGAACAGTCGGATTCATACACCCTCCACGGTGAGAACAGTCGGATTTATAGTACAGAATCAGGAGACCGGATATGTTGGGTACAGAAAGATCCAGTAGACCTGTTTTGGCAAGTACAGACAGATTCAGTAGATCTGCTATGGCGAATACATAGAGATTCAGTAGACCTTCTATGGTAAGTACAGAAAGATCCAGGAGACCTGCTATGGCGAGTACATAGAGATTCAGTAGACCTGCTATGGTAAGTATAGAAAAATTCAGTAGACGTGCTATGGCGAGTACATAGAGATTCAGTAGACCTGCTATGGTAAGTACAGAAAGATTCAGTAGATCTGCTATGGCGAGTACATAGAGATTCAGTAGACCTGCTATGGTAAGTACAGAAAGATTCAGTAGACCTGCTATGGCGAGTACATAGAGATTCAGTAGACCTGCTATGGTAAGTACAGAAAGATTCAGTAGACCTGCTATGGCGAGTACATACAGATTCAGTAGATCTGCTATGGCGAGTACATAGAGATTCAGTAGACCTGCTATGGAGAGTACAGAAAGATTCAGTTGGCCTGCTATAGTGGGTACAGAAAGATTCAGTAGACCTGCTATAGTGGGTACAGATATGATCATTAGACCTTCTATGGTGGGTACAGATAGGTTCAGTAGACCTGATATGGCGAATGCAGATAGCTTCATTCGACCTGCAAGAGTGTGTACAGATAGGTTCACTAAACCTTCTATGGTGGGTACAGATAGATTCACTAGACCTTCTATGGTGGGTACAGACAGATTCAGTAGACCTGCTATGGTAAGTACATACAGATTCAGTAGACCTGCTATAGCGAGTACATAGAGATTCAGTAAACCTGCTGTGGAGTGTACAGAAAGATCCAATAGACCTGCTATGGTAAGTACAGAAAGAATAAGGAGATCTGCTATGGTGAGTACATAGAGATTCGGTAGACCTGCTATGGAGTGTACAGACAGATTCAGTAGACCTGCTATGGTGGGTACAGAAAGATTCAGTAGATCTGCTATAGTGGGTACAGATAGGATCATTAGACCTTCTATGGTGGGTACAGATAGATTCAGTAGACTTGCTATGTCGAGTACATAGAGATTCAGGAGACCTGCTATGGTGGGTACAGAAAGATTCAGTAGACCTGTAATGGTGGGTACAGATAGGATCATTAGACCTTCAATGGTTGGTACAGATAGATTCAGTAGACCTGCTATAGTGGGTACAGATAGGATCATTAGACCTTCTATGGTGGGTACAGATAGATTCAGTAGACCTGCTATGGTGTGTACAGATAGGATCACTAGACCTTCTATGGTGGGTACATAAAGATTCAGTAGACCTGCTACAGTGGGTACAGACAGATTGAGTAGACCTGCTATGGTGGGTACAGATAGATTCAGTAGCCCTTCTATGGTGAGTAAAGATAGATTCAGTAGACCTGCTATGGTGGGTACAGATAGATTCAGTAGACCTGCTATGGTGAGTACAGAAAGATTCAGTAGACCTGCTATGGTGAGTACAGAAAGATTCAGTGGACCTGCTATAGTGTGTACCGAAAGATCCAATAGACCTGCTATGGTGAGTACAGAAAGATTCAGTAGCCCTTCTATGGTGAGTAAAGATAGATTCAGTAGACCTGCTATGGTGAGTACATAAAGATTCAGTAGACCTGTTATGGTGAGTACATAAAGATTCAGTGGACCTGCTATGGTGGGTACAGAAAGATTCAGTGGACCTGCTATGGTGAGTACAGAAAGATTCAGTAGACCTGTTATGGTGAGTACAGATAGATTCAGTAGACCTGCTATGGTGAGTACATAAAGATTCAGTAGACCTGCTATGGTGAGTACAGAAAGATTCAGTGGACCTGCTATGGTGGGTACAGAAAGATTCAGTAGACCTGCTATGGTGAGTAAAGATAGATTCAGTAGACCTGCTATGGTGCATACAGAAAGATTCAGTAGACCTGCTATGGTGGGTACAGATAGATTCAGTAGCCCTTCTATGGTGGGTACAGAAAGATTCAGTAGCCCTTCTATGGTGAGTACAGATAGATTCAGTAGACCTGCTATGGTGAGTACA